TGTGAATAAAAGGATCATGTAAATTATTATATCTACTAAGATACAATAATTATAACCATATGTACCAAATATCATATCTCCAACATATGTTAAGCAAGCATGGATAAAATTGGAGAGAACAAATAGTTTTACAGTAGAACTATTGTAGCACTTGCTTAATATATTTAATATATATTGGTACCTCCGACAGTTCAAATAGTAGGAGATACCAATACTCCTCTCTCAACACTGGGTAGAATCACCAGTCTTGAACAATACTACAGACCAACTGGACCTGGCAGACACATACAGAACACTTCACCAAGCAACATTCCATTAGAATATATGGTTTTTTCTTAAGTGAATATGGAACATTCTTCAAGAGAGACCCTACATTAGGCCACAAAGTAAGTGTTAATAAATTTTAAAAGATTGAAATTATGCAATGTCTTTTCCAATTACTGTGGAATAAAACTAAAACTATCAGAAGAAAAACTGGAAAATTCACAAATATAGGGACATTAAACAACACACTTTTAAACTACCAATGGGTTAAATAAGAAAAATTAGAAAATATCTTAGGACAAATGAAAACACAATAAGCAAAAACTAATAGGATGCTGTAAAAGCAGTACTGAGAGGGAAATTTATAGCTTTAAATACTTACATTTTAAAAGGATTAAAGATTTCAGTTCAACAACAAACTTTGTGTTTTAAGGAGCTAAAAGAAGAATAGTGATCTAAACCCAAAGCAGCAGAAAAAATAAAATAATAAAAGATATGAGTAAAGGTTACTATAATTTATTTCAGAATGTTGTCTAAAAATACAATAAAGAAACTCAATATCTTTTTCCGTTCTATTAGAAATTCAACAATATACACTCTTAAAACACTCTCCAGGAAATGAGATATAGATAAACTAACCTGAAATAGAAATAGTAGTTTGATTCTTCTGCTTGTGCCTAGACTTGAGAATGAAAAAGGGTACATTCTTGTTGAGAGTGGTTTCCAGAACTGAAGATGCAGTGGAGATGTGGCCTTTTCCATTCTCTGCAGAATATGGCTTTAAATTACATCCTTCGGGCTCTCTCTAGCTTATCCCATGCTCTGGGTTCCAGCCTTCAGCCTTATATTACGCTGCATCACTGGCATCACTGCTCTTAATGAGAATGTGTGAACAACTTCCTAATTTCATGAAATAAGAAGTGGACAAACAGCTCAAATAAGAAATCAATATCTAAAATGGGTTTTGATTATTATAGTTTCAGTATTTTGAATTTGGTGATCCAGATGGAAAGAATGTCCATCCCCTGTGCAACTTAGGTAGAAAAATTAACTGTTAATAATTTAATCAGAACAAATGATTGCTCTAAGGAATCAAATGTAGCAGGAAAAGATAAGAAAAAGAAATCTTTAAGAACTAAGATTTTTTAAAACATAATATAATAATGAGAAGCTGAGCTGAAGAATTTATAGTAATATCAGAAGTACACCAAAAGCCAATTGAATGGCACAGTTCTGATCTAAAGTCATTACGCTACCATGGAGCTCAAATTGTCAAAGCAAGGAGATTTATGGAAATTATACAGGTTACTTAAAACTGAATTTTACTAATTGGTGAAGAATATGAACAAAAAGCTAGCAGAGAAACAGCAACATCCATCTCTGAAAAGACCCAAAAAATCAGATGTACTTCCAAACAAATCTATTTTTTGCACTGTAATGTACTTTGCATCTGAGTAAGAGATTAATGTTACTGTATGTATCATGTACATGCCGTACGTGTTAGCCCTAGGAAGCCATTTAAGTTTAGAGCTTCTTAGGTTTTACATTCCATTAGTTGCACAGGTAGGAAACCTGCACGACTAATTTCAGCTCTCCAAGTCGTGCCCTGTACTTCACAAATTCCAGATTTATCTATAATAAGCAATGCGAAAAGCCTACTCAAAACATTCTTAGATGAGAATTTACTGGGCTATCTTCCTGCTTGTAAATACCACCAGAGTGTTTACAAGGAGGGGAGAGTAACAGAGCTGCTGCTAGTTATTTCCCTTGTGTGAAGACATGGATGAATTGCAGTGCTGGGAGTAGCAAGGGATTGAATCAAGCAAGATTCAGAAATATACAAATGATTCAACGGCCCTTTATATTGAAATCTCCAAACTTGAGTTTTATGTACCATCTTCTCAAAGGAACAAAACAGAAAATTCAATCATATACAACAATTTTGTCTATTACAAAGTTGAATGTTTGCCCCACACCTGGCCTGCCATCATGCGTTAGGGGACCATGGATGATCAAAAGAGTCCCTGTCCTCATGAGGTCATTGCTGATGTTCTTATGTACGCTACATTGTGAACATTTTGATGCACATGAGTCCATGATTCTTTACCCAGGCATACCAATCATGTCTAGGACAGATAAGGAGGAGGAAGATGAAATGCATGCAACACCCTATCCCATTCGCTGCCATGATCTGACTCCGCACCTGCTCCATCTTCCCTTCAAGACCAATGGCAGGAGGGTGCTACTTATGGTAATCAGACCACCAGGCTGCTGTTCCACGGCCATATGCAGGGAGTTCAACCAAAAGCACAGGTTTCCCTTTATCTCTGTTCCTGCCCAACTATCATGTCAATTCTTGCTCTGAAATTTGACCTATCCCTCTTTTCCAGTCCAAGTAGGATGGTTTTTCTTACCTGTATGGCTTCATTGAAACCAAAACTAACATTCCAAACATCTGTCAGTGAAAAGTAGAGATGAATTTTGTTTTTCCAATTTGAAAATGTTCATTAGAATAGAAAGCTAGTGTGTGCCTGCTCGGTAATACTCAGATATCTCTGTACAAGAACCCTTCATCCATCTCTGTCTCACAGTCATCCTAGGTCTGGGAGCTGACCTCAGGCACAGCCAGGCAGGGAACTCATGGCTCACTCTCAGTACAGGGGGTGGAAACCAGAATAATTGAGACCAGTCTGGGCAACATAGGAAGACCTTGTCTCTAGAGAAAAATGTAAAAATCAGCCAGGCATAATGAGTGTGTGCCTGTGGTCCTAGATCAGGAGGCTGAGGCAGGAAGATACCCTGAGCCCAGGAGTTTGAGGCTCAAGTAAGCTATTATATAATGGCAGCACTGCACTCCAGCCTGGGCAAAAGAGCAAGACTCTGTCTCAGAAAAGGGGATACATAATAATATGTCTTCCCACTCCATATTTATCCACCCCTTAACCCTGACAAATGACCATAATATCCTGGCAGAACAATTGGGTGTATACATGAGCAAGTAAGCACAAGCTATTTCTCTATTTTACAGACATGAAGTATTTCCTAAGTAATGTCTAGCACCCTCCTTTTTCTTTCACGTGTTGGTAATTGTTCTGTGTCAGCATATGAAGATATCCTTTGAGGAAATCCTTTTACAATTTCTTATCATTAGGAAATAGAACTCACATAATCATGCATCAAATCTTTAAGTAATGTTTAAATTATAAGCACACATCTCTTTTACCACCATACAGATTTTTAAAAATTACCTATGTGAATAGCATCTCAATAAAGCCGACATTTTCTTAAATGAAAGAAATAGGACCTGTCAGCAGCAAAGAAAACTCTCATTCCGCTCCAAAAGCTAGAGTTTAAAACCAGCCTGACTATTGGATGTACTTCTTGGTTTTTAATGAATACTTTTGCCATCTGTACAGGCATTCCTCTGAAATATTGTTTACTGTATATTTGGCTTACCATTGCTTTATTTGACCTGGGACTTGAGTGATAGATTTTTTTGCATAGTTTCTATATCCTTATCTGGTATGTCACTTATAAAATATATATGGTGGCCGGGCATGGTGGCTTACACCTGTAATCACAGCACTCTGAGAGGCCGAGGCATGTGGATCACGAGGTCAAGATATCAAGGCCATCCTGGCCAACATAGTGAGACCCCATCTCTCCTAAAAATACAAAAATTAGCTGGGTGTGGTGGCATGCACCTGTAGTCCCACCTACTCAGGAGGCCGAGGCAAGAGAATCGTTTGAACCCAGGAGGCAGAGGCTGCAGTTGGCCGAGATCGCACCACTGCACTCCAGCCTGGTGACAGAGCAAGACTCCATCTCAAAATAATAATAATCATCATTATATACATACATACATATATTTGATTAGAATTTTAAAATCCAGCCTGATGATCATTTTACTTTTAACTAAAACATTTATTCCAACGACACTGAATATAATTACTGGTATTTTCAATTTATATGTAACATTTTATTTTGTGCTATATTTTTTTCTGATGCCTTCCTTTAGATTGCGTGTATTTTTGTTATACTATTACTTTTCTTGTCACTTGCAAGTTATTTGCACAGTTTCTATTCCTTCATTAGTTTTAAATTTAAGATATTAGGCATTACTTATAAGCCACAGTTTAAACTTAATCAAAATCTTTACTCACACTCTGGATAAAACAAGAACTTAGAGCCCTTTAACAGGGTTACTACTTTTTTCTGTTTTAGAGGTTTGCTGTAGATTTCAATTGTAGGTTTATAAGCTCAGAAATCTGTTATTACTGATATTCTCCATCTTGAGATTCAAGCAACCTGCCTTCTTATTTCAAGAAATTTATAACACAAAGTAATAGAAGGAAATATTAACTTAAATCTCTCTGATTTAGAGTGAGAAAAGTGTACCCCATTGAGAAGAGAACTTGCAGTCCTTAGTGCCACCCAAGAAAGAGCCTGCCGGAATTTTTTAAAGTTGGCTGTCATTGTGGGTTGATGTGGTCTTTTAGGACTTCTCTTAAGATAGTCTTGGTGTTCTCAGAAATTATCTCTAGTAAGTGTCTATAGTTCATTCATCTGAAGTAACAGTGGGGTGTAGCTTAAAAGGCTAAGAAATGCCTACATAACTCCACAAGTCATGCACATACGTTTCCCATCTCTTTTGCAGACCCTGTGCATCACAGGACTTCATGATGTTCATGTAGTCTGTGAATTTCCTGCCCATTCTCTGTGCCACCTGCCAGAGAGACTCATCATCCATACCAAAGAACAATTAAAAGACCTTCAGACACTTCACAAAATCATCTGCACCCCAGATGCCAAAGGCATCCTGGAAAGACTGTATGGTTGTTTTCTTCTGCAGGGAGGTTGCTTTGTCATTCATGATCATCTCACAGGTGTGGGACAGGTTTTGAAGAGGGCCATGGCACCTAATTTGGATGAGTCTTTTGTAATGTGTCTCTAATTTTCGGAAGTCATGCAATAAAGGTTCAAGGCTGGAGGCCATAAATATGCGGCATTCACATACCTGCTCCCTCTGGAGATTTTCCAGGACATTTTCTCTGATTTACAGTAGCTGCACTTCTGGGAGGGCACCTGTGCTGAGATCCATGCCCAGCTTGGTCCAGACAATGTAGAACTTATTTCCCATGTCCTCAATGGTTTTGGCAAGGATCACATGATTCATGCTGAATTGTGCAGATGCAACCAAGATGAAGTCCTACTGGTTGAACTATATTTCCATCAGGTAATTCTCCAGAATTTTGGTGGCAGACCCTGCGCCAGGCAGGTCCCACAGCGCCACATTTGGAAAGTGGGAAGAGAAATAGGAGGCACGTCTTTGGGTAGTTTTTACCAGCCCAGTAGGAGGTGAGGCCTTCCCCTCATGCCCTGTGTTTTGAAGTGCACTGATGAAGGTGGACATGCTATTGCCAGAGTCCCCTGCCATAGCGATGTTGACTGGTGTCCCGAACCCTATCTTCAAAGTCTCCTTGATGGCAGAGACCACCTCTGGCAAGTCCCCATCTGCTGAGGCTCTCTCAACATTCATGACCTCCGCCTTCGATAAAATACCCCAATGCTGGCTGGGCGTGGTGACTCATACCCGTAATCCCGAAATTTTGGGAGGCCAAAGCAGGCGGATCACCTGAGGTCAGGAGTTCCAGACCAGCTTGGCCAACATGGGGAAACCCCGTCACTACTATAATATAAAAAATTAGCCAGGTGTGGTGCACGCCTGTAGTCCCCACTACTCAAGAGGCTGAGGCAGGAGAATCGCTTGAACTCAGGAGATGGAAGCTGCAGTGAGCTGAGGCCACTGCACTCCAGCCTGAGAGACAGAGTGAAACTCCATCTCAGGAAAAAAAAATGCTCATGGTGTGGCAAAAACAGGTTAAGGATGCGGCTAAAGGATGGAGTGTGAGTGAGGGCACGTGGGAACTCTGTCGTATTGGTGGGCACTGGAGTAACCTGCAGAAGTGGAAGAGCAGGTGACTTAGATGGACAGGGTGCACATGAATCATCTGCCTTTCAGCATTCCCAGCCCTCAGCGAAGACTGCAGCAAAGACAACTGGATTAAAAACAATCAAAAAGCACTCATTCAAGCAATGTGCACCTTCCTTCAAGGAGCAAGAAAGGTAGGGCCCACGTGGAACGCTCTGAGGCCGGTGCCTCCAATAGTCAGCCTCCAAAGCAGGGTTGTGGTCTTGAGATGGCTTGAATAGCAGAGGATGAACCAAGGCTCCTGAAAAGCCCAAGAGTTTTTTGTCTTTTCCTCTTTTACTCTATCCTAACATAGGACTGCTCCTTCACAAGTTTCAGTACAGGTATTGATCGACTTACGACCTATGCAACTTACGACCATTTGACTTTACGAACACAATCGCTAGCCACGACTGCTCCGCGTCTGGCAGCGCAAACATTGCCCAGCTGGGCGTACGACAGTGCGGACCATCTTCCGGCAGCACTACCATCTCCGCGTGTATATAGCCTACTCAACTTACGACCAAATCGTGTTACAACCGGTCTGTCAGAACCAATCGTGGTCATAAGTCGAGCACTAGCTCTACATATTTCATAACAAAGACCAGACAAGTAAAACTGACCTATATATTTCTCTGCTGAAGATGGCGCCAGAGGACATAAAACATCCAATCCCCATTGCTTACTTGAAGCTGTGGCCTGTCCCTGTTTTAACTCTTAACTTACCTCATCAGGCAGGGGGATCACACGTGCAGCGCAGTCCTGAAATGCTGCAACATATATGAAGTAAGCCACCTGCCTTTGACCCCCAAGTTTCCATTAGGATTGTCATATTGGGCCCAACTGAAGCAGGGGAGAGAAGGAGAGAGTTACTCAAATGCTCTGCTCTTGTTCAAGGCAGTGATTACACAATTATCATTGGCGATTGCAGTGATAATCAATTGTGTAATCATTGCCTTGAAGAAGAGCAGAACCTGGCTCTTGCAGGTTCCCCACCAGGCCAGGTATTTGAGATTGATTAAAAGAAGGTGATGTGATTATTGCAGTGGTTAGACAATTGATTATCATTACATTCGCCAAACCTGGCTCTTGCAGGTTCTCCATGGAGGCAGGTATTTGAGACTGATTAAAAGGAGGTGATGTAATTCTCCTAACGTGGCCTGGCAGGTCTGTTTCACACACTCATTGTGAACACACACAACACTCTTCACCCACTCACTCACATTTGGTGTGCACACTCACCCATGCCCAGCCGTGTTACCCCCCACACACACTCACATGCTCTCACCCTCAGCATGCACACATACACTCAATTGCACTCTGTGCATGTCCACACATATTCACACTGACACATGTTCACACACCCTCACATACTTAAGCTGACACGTGTAAACACTAATACACACATTCATCCCTGTTGCACACACTCATACTTGCGCACTCAGGCTGCAACATGTTCACTTACCCCACACACGAACACACATTGACTCATGGTGCCACGTTCACACAAACTTATGTTTGGTGCACACATGCTCATGTACTCTGTGCACATATATATACACTCACATAGGCTGGCATGTGTTCACTGACCTACTCACTCATGCTTGGTGTGCCCAGTGCCCACACACTGTCTCACATGATATGTGTTCAGACACTCATGCACACACAGAATCTTGCCTCCTGAGTGCCCAGGACAATGGATCTGTCCAGTTTTTGGTCCTTTTAGAGGGTCCAGGAAACAGAGAACTGGCTCCAGCTACCCATCTATGAGATATGAGGCAAGGCCCTAATGGAGGAGATGGATCAGAGAGGCCCTGTTCTCTGGGCTGTACCTGAGTCTTCAATTTCTCGGTGCCCCACTGGTCTTGGGAAGATTTTATAACCCACCATATGGCAAGGGCAGCAACTGATCATTGACCTCCTCAGGCCACACTTCATCTGTGGCTGCTATATACAGTTTCTCTGTTGCAGCAATAATTATTTTGGTTTATGTGAATAACTAGTTTCTTCTCCTCAAATGCTACTTAGATATGGTTGCTTTTATTTATTTATTTATTTATTTTTAATTTTTTATTTTATTTATTTATTTATTTTTGAGACAGAGTCTTGTTCTGTCGCCAGGTGCCAGGCTGGAGTGCAGTGGTGCCATCTTGGCTCACTGCAACCTCTGCCTCCTGGATTCAAGCAATTCTCCTGCCTCAGCCTCCCGAGTAGCTGGGACTACAGGCGTGCACCACCACGCCCAGCTAATTTTTGTATTTTTAGTAGAGACGGGTTTTCACCATGTTGGCCAGGATGGTCTCAATCTCTTGACCTCGTGATCCACCCGCCTCGGCCTCCCAAAGTGCTGGGATTACAGGCATGAGCCACCGCGCCTGGCCTATGGTTGCTATTAGTTAGTCCATAAAGAGGAAGAGGTAATCCACAGAATTTGGAGGGAAGGGGGCAGCATAGTTACCAGGTTTAAGTGGAGTCCCTCGCAGCCTAGCAGGAGAAGGGAGTGGGGAGGTGTGGCTTTCAGAATTTTGCCCATGTGTGTCTGCACAGATAGGAGGCAGGCTGGTTAAGGAGAGGAACCGAGACTCCCCTTCCCCACGACATTACATCTGACAGGTGCACAAGGGAGTGGAGCAGGAGCACATGCAGGCGGGAGATGGGCTTGGGCCTGTGGCGGGGCCATTTTCTAACCCAAGTAGTCCTAGAAAGTATTGTTTCATCAGGTATTAAATGCTTGGCATCATATTAATACATACACAGGTCTTGGCACTAACCATAAAACGTTTCCACTAGACTCTTTACCATTGTACTCCTCGTGCCTAGCAGGTGTTTAACATATTTTTGTTTGATTAATAAAACACAGTACACTTTGTGTGTTATTAACTTACTAATTGACAGATAAATTAACTTCCCTTTCTAAACAGTCCCTGCTGAGCACAGGGCCTACTAATAGACATCTGATTTTCAAGCACAGTCTGCTTGGGTATGAAGGGACAGAACAGGGTATTCACTGTCCTTGGTGAGTGTGGGAGGTCAGCACCAAACCGTATCATTTTCCAGGCTTTGTCTGTGACCATGTGTGTGAACGGAGCCAGCATCTTCAAACCTGTCTGCTTACCTGTGCACCAGTGCTGACCCCTGTGGAAAGAGCCTTAGCCCCTGCAGCCCCAGCTCAACTGTCCCACTCTCAAGTCCTGATCAAATGATCCACTTCTGCTGAGCCCATGGTGAAGGCTCACCAGCTGCACACTGGACACATCCGAGCCCAAAATAATTATTTTTACAAATGAGATACTTTATCTCAGTTATGCCAGGACTCTTCTGTGCTGTGCTTGCCCAGGCCCCTGTGCCACTGCCAGGCCAATGAGGGCATGGTTTCCTCTGCCTGAGGTTGGATTGTCTTCACGGTGTTGTCAGTGTGCCTATGTTTGTGTGCACGAGCCTCCAGGAGCACTAACCTGGGAGTTTAGAAGAGGTCATCAGAATTCAGCCTGGGCTGCAATTGCTCCAAGCTCGGCTCTTTGAGTACCTTGCCCAGATTATATTGCCAGATACCCTCCTCCAGACAGGGGCTGAGGAGTCCTTTTGGAAGAGGAGGAAAAGGCCCTTCTAAAAGGAGCCACGGGACCACGTTCAATTACACAGTGGCAACCATACAAAAAAAAAGAAAAAAAAAAAAAACAGACATTAGAAGGAGCATATTCCTAAATTTACTAAGTGAGACTTTGAGTGTGGTATGCACTTCATATAGGAACCAAGTACACATGCACACAAATAAATGCACGCAGGTGAATGCAAGGTAACATACAACAATTTGCCTTAAATACACTCTATATCTTCTATTCCATTCTATGAATGATTTTTAATCTGTTTGCTTTTTAATGCTGGTCATAATCCAGTGAATTAATTTCACGAGCCAAAACATGCAGAATGAAGAACACAGATTAATAGATTTCCCTCGTAAGGTTATATATAGTTAATTCCAGGCCAATTAGCTTGATCCCCAAACAAAGGTACTTATAGCAAAGTAAGACCTAACCTTAGCACAGATGTGGAGCCTGGCACATCAGAGAACTCCATAAGCCAGAAACCAATGTGGCCCAAATCCCAGGCTTTTTCTCTGTTTGATCACTATCAGAAAAGGCTGAGGAAAAAAATCAATGTGATGATTCATGTGGAATAATGAAACTGGATCCTCAGTTCTCACCTTCTACAAAAATAAACTTGGCCAGGCGTGGTCACTCACACCTGTAATCCCAACATTTTGGGAACCTGAGGTGAGTGGGTCAAGAGGTCAAGAGATTGAGACCAGCCTAGCCAATATGGTGAAACCCCATCTCTATTAAAAATACAAAAATTAGTCAGGCACATTGGAAGGCACCTGTAATCCCAGCTACTCAGGAGCCTGAGGCAGGAGAATTGCTTGAACCTGGGCAGCAGAGGTTGCAGTGAGCTGAGATTGTGCCACTGCACTCCAGCCTGGATGACAGAGTGAGACTCCGTCTCAAATATATATATATATATATATATACACACAAAAATTAGCTGGGCATGGTGGTGGTCACCTGTAATCCCAGCTCCTCGGGAGGCTGGGGTAGAAGAATCACTGGAACCCAGGAGGTGGAGGATGTAGTGAGC